TGCCTACTGGTCAAACTCCTGGTCGAGGGGACAATTTGCATATGAGCCTTTTATTCTATAGGATATGCACTGAGTGGCCAGATTATTGTGAGTTCAGAGATCATTATCATCTGGCCACTCAGTGTATATGTTTTTTATTGATTCAAAGAGGAGGGAGAGGGAGAGAGAGAAACATCGATGCTGAGAGGGAATCATCGATCACCTGCCTTCTGCATGCCCCTTACTGGGGATTGAGCCTTCTGCCCGGGCATGTGTCCTTCACCAGAATCAAACCGTAACCATCTGGTTCATAGGTCGACGTTCAACCACTGAGCCAGCCACACCAGCCGGGCACCTGAGGTGGTTGATACATGGATTCGTGCAGCTGTGGTTCGATACAACTGTTATTTGGCAAAACAGTCACAGGGCTGGGTTTAACCTGCACGCTGATATCCTAAGCCCCTTGGGCCACAGAGACTAAAAAATAAAATAAAAAAGAGTAAATACCAGGTTCAGGGTCACCCGGCAGAAGCTGAAAAGCAGCTGGTCTGGCTAACGGGAGATGCAAAACACAGACACACCCGCCTCTGCCCTCCGCCCTCCCCCACCCTCTTGGGTCCTGCCCATGCCTCTCACTGCACACAGCCAGCTGGAGGCCAGCTGACAGGGGATCTTGAAACCCTTCCTTGAGGGGATCAGCCTCTGAAATAACAGAGGGACAGAGATAAAAGGACGTGAAGTCAGACAGGCCAAACGCAGGCACCGCTTGTCAACTAATTTCACAGAGAAAATAAAAACATTACACCAAGATGGGACACGACTCTTACCTTGGGATTGCTGACACACGCCTGCATAAAAGGGTGGATCAGAGGAGGGGAGAGGGGAGGATATATACTTATCTCTCGGTACGAATTGACCCAAAGTAAAGGAAATATATAACTAAAGGGGTGCTGTATTCAGCCATCGTACCTGTACAGACTCAAGTGGCTCTAAAAACAGCAGGCAGGTGTGTATGCCTGTGTGCGTGCGTGAGTGTGTGTGTGTGTGTGTGTGCACCCAGATTTCTGAATTCACTCAGTAATTTATCAATTCCATTACTGCATTTTTCCCATTAGACTCCTTGCTATAAAAGAAGTGCCAGCTGTTCATTTTTTATCTCTGTAACTGTTGCACACGTTTCAAAGAGAGAAGTGAGGTTTAGAAACAGGTGGATTTACAGAAATATTCAAAAGGAGCTGGGCACGGGGTTCAGCCCTCTTGCATCAAAATTCTCGCTGGTCATCTTAACATGCTCATCACAAGATAAATGAAGGCTGTGGAGGTCCCCTTGCCCTCTATTTAAATCAATCTCTATATTTAGTGTATTAAAATCAAGGTCAGTGTAGGCAGGAAACGCCTTAAAAAACTCTCTAAAAAGACTGCTTCTCTGGGTTCCATTGGCGGATGCAAACTTATAAATGTATGGATTTAAGAAGCAATTACATTTTTAAAAAGGTTATTCTAAGAATATGATGGATACCCTGTTTCCCTGAAAATAAGACAGTGTCTTAAATTAATTTTTTCTCCCAAAGTTGTGCTAGGTCTTATTTTCGGAGGATGTCTTATTTTCGGGGAAACACAGTATTACCTTAATAATAATTTAAAAAATCATTACCTCCCAGGAAAAAAGAAAAGAATATGATGGAAGTGAAAAAGTCAATGACATTTTCTAGGTAACATATTACTTAGAATTAGTAACTTTTTAAGTTACTCATAGCTAAGGAATAATCTTCTTTATGTCCAACTCCTACTACCTGATTTCTAAATCTTCAAAAATAAGCTTGCACAGGAGTGGGCAAACATAGCTTTACAGTTGTAATACAAATAAATAATACAGTAATGAATAAGCAATAATACAAGGATAAATTCTGTGTTTCGTATACTCACAACGTTCACCCTACTTTTGCCAACCCCTGTAGTTCAAAAATACCGAGAAAGGTTCATCAGGGTACCTTTTTGTTCTTTTTCATCCTCACCTGAGGATATTATATCTCATTGATTTTTTTTTTTTTTAAGAAAGTGTGCAAGGGAAGGGAGAGACAAAAGAGAGAGAAACATCGATTGGTCGCCTTGTGCACCGGCTGAGGGGGTCGAGCCTGCAACTGAGGCACGTGCCCTTGAGTGGAACTGAACCTGGGACCCTTCAGTCTGCAGGCCGAGGTCCTATCCACTGAGCCACACCGGCCAGGACTAATGAGGGTATCTCAACAACTCTTACGGAGGAATAGTCATGGCACCTGTAGATGTTCCCAGGGGCTCCTTTTCGGGAGCCAAATTGGAAGCCCGTTGCATTTGCCTCTCTAAACTGCACACGCTGAGTTGCAAAAGCACCGACCAGTTGCAATTCCTCACCAATTCTATATCAATTGCACGTATCCACTAAAGATCATAAGCAGCTTGCAATGAGCTCTGTGCCTCTGAGGTTTTATGAAACACAGCTCCGCGCTCTGGACATTTACGATCTCCCTGAGGCCCGTTGCACTCAAGTCCAAATTCTAGAAACTACTATGGAAGGGAAGGGGAGGGGGGGGACAAAAAACAGACCACAGCTCAGTGGGAAGATACAACTCTGGAGCAGAGAAATAAATACTGCTCTCCCGGCCCCTCTGCTCCTCCCATATTTTTTGATATCTTTATCTGGGCCGTCAACATTTTTTCTCTCCTCCTTCATTCCTGGGGCCATTCTTCCATAACCTCTCCGGTCCTCCCCAGCTACAATATTCCCCAAGCTCACAATTTCTCTTCCCGGCCTTTATGGTCTCCCACAAACTGCCCGTGCTCTTCCCCAGGCCGGGGCTCCCTAACTAAAGAAGGTTATTGATGTCCGGGCCCAGGGTGTTAGAGCGGCAGCAGAATCAATAAACTGAGAAAATACTGCTTTGTCAGGCTTCGCCCGAGGCATGCTGGGAAATTTTACTGCCTCCGATGGTTACAGAGAAACTCTTAATGTGGGAGCCGGAGGGCCGGGCTCCCTTCTGTGGCCAGAAATGAAGTTCTTCTACCCTCTAGTGACTATAAAGGGATAAGACAGAGTGCGGAGGGATTGCTCAGATGGTTATTTATTGGCTCTTCGTATCGAGAAGAGAGCCAGGATCTTGGACACCAAATGAACTAACTAGCAGGAAACCCAGACACCTTAGCATAGTTTTTTTTTTTTTTTTTTTTTTTGAAAGGGTTCGACATGCAAAGGATAGATGCGTTAGAAAGCAGTCAGGACTTGGGATGTCTTTGAATTGTATTGATTTTTAAAAATATATTTGTATTGATTTCAGAGAGACAGGGAGAGAGAGAGAGAGAGAGAGAGAGAGAGAGAGAGAGAGAGATATCAAGGGTGAGAGAAGGAATCATGGATCGGCTGCCTTCAGCATGCCCCCTACTGGGGAGTGAGCCCACAAGCCAGCATGTGCCCTTGACCGAACTCGAACCCGGGACCCTTCTGTCTGCAGGCTGATAGTCTAGCCACCGAGCCAAACCAGGTAGGGCTCTTTTGAATTTTAAAAGGCAATGTTTCTAAAGTTTGCCTGTCTTCCTAAATGACTAGTCAGATTACAAATCTCTCAAACTCTTTTATCTCTCTCTCTCTCTCTCTCTCTCTCTCTCTCTCTCTCTCTCTCTCTCATAAATTCACAGTCTTTGTCTCACTTTCCTTATTTTATAGAGAAGCAAGCAGCTGAGACACAGTGAGTTCAGAAGTCAGAGCTGGCATATGTATTTGTGCAGATGTTTGCGTAAATAAATGCACGTAAGTAACTGACACATGCACATATAAACCACCACCGCCATCCCTATGGTGGGTATTTCTCTTTAACAAAGCAGCCCAGCTGCTAAATAAAGTTATAATTTTTTAAACAATGTTTGGTTGGTTTCATTTTACACTCGTGTAGGCATTCAGTCGCTTAAGTTGCAAGGTGCTAATTTAATAACCTGATAACCCATAACACATTTCAACCCGGGTACCCACCCTTTTTCACAAATTGGACAGCCGTAGGTATAATGGCTTAAGTACAACATCACCACGTAAAAACATCACGTAAAAACATCACCAGTACTGGTATTAAGAAACACCTAAAAAAATCTCACACACACACACACACACAAAAAAACCACAATAAGTGGTGTTTTATGTGTGTGTGTTTTCCACAAGTTATAAAACACACAACACCCTTTTAATTTCTATTTCCTTTGTCCCTATAGCACCAAAGCTGATCTCTACCTAATGGTCAGTAACTTCCTAAAAGACTATCTCGCTGCGGGACACCTCAAATAATCGGAATTTAAGGAAGTGGAATGTCCTGACGTGGCCGGGACTTCTAGAATGTTACCACCAAGCAAGGGGCAGCGAGTTCAAGCATCTGGTTGTGCCTTGATGAAGTTTTATTTTTATTTTTTGATTTTCCCCAGAGAGGAAGGGAGCGGGATAGAGAGCTAGAAACGTCGATGAGAGAGAAACATCGACCAGCTGCCTCCTGCACACCTCCTACCGGGGATGTGCCTGCAACCAAGGTACATGCCCTTGACCGGAATCGAACCTGGGACCCTTCAGTCCCCAAGCCGACGCTCTATCCACTGAGCCAGAAACGGTCTCGGCTGAAGTTTTATTTTAAAGGGAGGCCGTGTCCCTCCTGCGAACAGCAGTGAGAGGAAGAGAACCCGATCTGTGTGCGGGGTTGGCGGTATGAATCACGTGTGCATTCATATTTGTAATAACGATGAACTTCTAAACCAGTGGTCGGCAAACTTATCAGTCCACGGAGCCAAATATCCACAGGACAGCCGTTGACATTTCTTTGGAGAGCCACATTTTTAAAACTTAAGCTATAGAGGTAGGTGCATTGCGATGAACTTAATCGGGGCACTCCTAAGCTGGCCTTTGCTAAAAGCTCAAGGGGCCAGGGAGCCGCGCATGGCTCGCGAGCCGCGGTTTGCCGACTGCTGTTCCAACCCAACGATGTAAATAAGGCGCTAAAGAAACTGGTATTTACCTTGCCTGCGCTTAACCGCTTCCGGTTTGTCCAGCGCTGAGGATCACGTCCGTGGGACGGTGAAGAACAGGGAAAGGAAAGAGAGACACAGAATCGTTCATTAGGGACAAAATCATTAATTAGCCGCACAAAGATATCATTCTGTGAGTCACAGGGTAAAGCTGACATGCGAATGACGGACATCCCGCCTTCCTCTGAGGTTACAGAGAAAACACGTGTGAGCGCGAAAACCGTTAGAAACGGAGGAGAATCACGTATGGGTGGATCTGACACCATCTCCTCATGGCGCTTTCAACACGGGGAGGGCACAGGTCGCAGACGCACTGCTCAGTCTGCAGGAGTCCTTTTACCCTTATGTTTTGAAAAGCCTTCACGCAGTCAAGTTCCCCTCTAACAGGCAGAATTCTCCCGCTTGAGATACGCAGGTGATAGCATGAAGCTATGCAAAGAGATCCATGGGCAGTGTGAGTTCATGCTTAGGTTTCCAGCGCTTTAGATGCCAGAAAAATAATTCCATCGGCCTGCACGGATTAAGTCTCAATTTTCATTAAAAAAAAAAAAAGAAGAAGAAGAAATCGGAGTCATTCCTACACAAGGAAGAAAAATAGGCTAAAGCAGCTCTGAGGGAGAGAAGAAAACATTTCTGAGCAGCAAGAATTTCTCCACCGCGCTCTCTCTCTGGGGCCCTCGTTGGCCATGCTAAACCAGCGGTCGGCAAACTCCTTGGTCCACAGAGCCAAGTATCAGCAGGACAATGACTGACATTTCTTTGGAGAGCCACATTTTTTAAACTTAAACCTCTTCTAGCACCACTTCTTCAACATAGACTCACCCAGGCCGTGGTGTTTTGTGGAAGAGCCACACTCAAGGGGCCAGAGAGCCGCCTGTGGCTCGCGAGCCGCAGTTTGCCGACCACGGTGCTAAACTAAGGCTGCTGAATTGCACAGACAATTAAAATTCTCTCCCAGCAAGGTCCTCTCATTCATTCCCTTCATCACGGCCCAGTCCTGTGGCTGGTTAGCCACCTAACTGGTTGTTCAAACTCGGGTAAATCTGGGAGATTCAACTCAATTATGAATCTTATGGAGCAGCCCACACTGGTTATGATTGCTTAAGGAAAAAATACCACCTACCTGTCTACACCACAATACATCTTCCCAGTAAATCAGAAACCAGACGATAAACAGTCTTTGGGAAAAACCCACTTACATTCTGGGGACCAGGAACTAGAGACATGGATGCAGAAGTGACTTGAAAATATTCTTTATTTAAAAACACTTCTGCTGGTGAAATTGTGAGTTCAGCATTCAGCACGTGATATGGAGTTATGGATACTACAATCTGGGTGCTAAAATCAGTCTTTTTGGTATTGTCCCAGTGACACATTAACAAGTATTCCAACCCAAAACACACGCCAAAATTAATTACCATCTTAAAGGTACACAAAGCTATTTAGGGCCTTTTGATGGGTGATTTTTTTTATCTCCATAATAATCAAAAAAGACATATAAAATGAATATGGGTATAAGTGCAGAATGAATATTACTGTCTGCTTACGACGATACGAAAGCTACCATCTATAGAGTAATGCCAAACTCTGCAACTGATCTTCGGGATTCTGTAAAATAACCTTTTCTTTTTTTCTATTTTTTTTTTCTTTATCTCCAATTCACTCAGGAGGAAATTGTCACTGAGAGGCACTGGGTTTTTGACCTGCTCACTTAACGTCTAGAAAATGTGGGAGCTGGGATTCGAACTCAGGGAGTCGGGTACCACAGAAAATCCCTTCTTTGTTATGTCCGCTAGAAAGCCAGATTCGTTTTCAACAGCGACTTAAAGACCTTTCAACATCCAGATGTCAGCTTTAAAGAGGCCTCACGTTTGAACGCTGACACTTTTTTTTAAAAAAAAGTGAGGGTGTCTTTTCCTCCGTTCTCATCCAGGGGAAGCCTCGGACGATGTTTGAATTAAAAATAGCAACTATTTAGCTGACCCTCTGGCGTTTGTAAAGTCCCAGGGCTGGTTTTCCAGCTTCGTGAAGCCATTTCTCTCGCGTCACCAGTAAATCAGTCATGATTTTCATCGTGAAAGTAAGTTACGACGACAAGCGAAGATGATGTCAAGATGAATATGCTTGTCGCCAACCCCAGTGACTCAATTCCAGAGGCATTATGGAGGCCTAATTTATACGCATGCCCCATTAGAAACACGCCCATGCTCACACAGCTTCGTCCCTTTTTGAATAGGTATTTCGGCTGGCTTCAAAAATACTTGTTACTATTTTAATTCTTGGAGTCTCATTATATTCTCTGAATAGAAATAAGATTATTATTTGTATTCCCATAGATGCTCAAAAACACAAAACTCCGATCATAAAACCCAAAGCTTTGTGGATAAGACAGGAATCTGCACCCGGTCGTGCATTAACTAGAATTTTCTATATAACGGACCGCAGAATGTTAAAATCTCTATCTTCCCTAAAGCACTCTCCGTAGAAAACTTGGTGGCTAAAAGAGAAAGAAACGGAAATGCTTCTAATATCTACTTGGTCGTCTTAAAAGCATACAACGCAGTAATTAAATAGTAGAAACTGCTTTTCGTAATTGAACAATATGCAAGGGATCTAGTCCCTAAGAAGATGGTAAGTAAAAATCTGAACACTTGGTAAAAATGTATTTCACATTATCTGCTTAAAGCAAACCATGAGCAACATACATATTTTAGACATGGTAGCGCTGTCTATATTCCTAGCCCAAAAAGGGAGAATTCTTTTTAAAAAAATATATATATATATATTTTATTGATGTTTTACAGAGAGGAAGGGAGAAGAGGGATAGAGAGTTAGAAACATCGATGAGAGAAAAACACCCATCAGCTGCCTCCTGCACACTCCCTGCTGGGGATGTGTCCGCAACCAAGGTGCATGCCCTTGACCGGAATAGAACCTGGGACCCTTCAGTCCGCAGGCCGACGCTCTATCCACTGAGCCAAACTGCTCATAAAGAACAAAATGGGGATACTCACGTGCCTCTTGAAGTCACCCTGTTTTACTACGAGGTTCAGATTTAACACGATCACACCCATGTCATCTTCTAAGCTGTTTGGATCTTCCAACTTTAAAATATGTTCAGTTGTTCTACAAGCAAAACGCAAACAAACAAACAAAAAATCAAAACCAACAAATAACATGAGCCCTTCCTGGCAGTCCTGTGTCGTCTTAGGAGGCACCAGAAATCCATGGTCAAGGCCCCCATCCCTCTGAATAAGGGTTAGACACCAGATTAAAAAGCACCAAATTCCGAAAATAAAACAACAGCTTTCAAAGTAGAGAAATTGCGTGGCGTTGCCTAACTCAGCAGCTGGCTCACTGCTTCTCGCCTTCTCCCCCCGATGAAATGTAAACACTGGTTTTAATTTCAAGTCAGATAGGCAGACAGAAGCCTGGACGCTAACAAGTGAGAGTGAGAAATTCAATGCACACTGTAGCATAGAGGATGGAGGATTTAATAGCTGACAAAGTCCATTTTGGAGCTGAGGAGCAAAAATCATTCATCTAGGACACGCTCGGCCCTCTTTCATACACGCAGACTTTTTTTGTCATTGGATCTCAACAAACGCCAGTTCACACGATCTTGAGTTCCCTCTGAAATTCATTCATCACTCTGAGAAGGAAAATAAACAAAAAAAAAAGGATGATACCTGTTCAGCTCGAGTTCGTTGAGATTGACAAACGCAGAGCCCATGAAATCAGATGTCGTCAAATCTCGGTCGTATACCTTAAAAGAGGGACCGGGGACACACATGAATGCACTAAACCACGTCTGTCAAATGTATTCCTACATGTCATAGGCTGAGAACTTTACATTTGGTCTGCTAGGTCTCAAAAAAAACAAAACAAAACAAAAAAACAATTTGCATAGCACAGTTCAGAGGAAAAGCTAGCCAAGCCAACGGGGAGGAGAAAAATTATTCTAATTTCCCCATGCAGCCCCAAAACAGCAGCAGAATATACTTCCAGCCAAAACTGGTTTGGCTCGGTGGATAGAGCGTCGGTCTGCGGACTGAAAGGTCCTGGGTTCGATTCCGGTCAAGGGCATGTGCCTTGGTTGTGGGCACATCCCCAGTAGGGGGTGTGCAGGAGGCAGCTGATCAATGTCTCTCTCATTGATGTTTCTAACTCTCTGTCCCTCTCCCCTCCTCTCTGTAAAAGATCAATAAAATATATTTTTTAATTTAAAAAAAAAAGAATATACTTGGAAGGCAGTGTTCATATGCATTCAGACACAATGGGCCACTCTCAGTCGCCTTACACGGGCTCTCGTTAAAATTTAGTATTTTCCATGGCGGGCAGGTCTGCCAATTAAACGGAAATTTGCTAAATATTCTATAGCAATTGCCTCCTGTGCTCAGCTCACGCCGTTTCCACCCAGATGTTAGAGCAATGAATGCTTAGAGCCAGTGGCTTAAAGCTCTTATTAAGTATCAAGTTATTCCTAATGAGAGAGGCTTGAAGCACAACTCACTCCTGAGCTGCCTGCCGGTCATAATTCTTCCACATCCGGCAGGTTTAAGCACCATCGGTGGGGATGTGGTTTCCAGGCGGGTTTTCTGCACGGCCCATACCTCGTGGGTCCGAGAGAAATGCACATCGCCGGCGAGGCCTCTAGACAGCCCTCCCCGTGCTGGTATTTTTTTTTTAAATATATTTTATTGATTTTTTACAGAGAGGAAGAGAGAAGGATGGAGAGCTAGAAACATCGATGAGAGAGAGTCATCCATCAGCTGCCTCCTGCACACCCCCTACTGGGGATGTGCCTGCAACCAAGGTACATGCCCTTGACCAGAATCGAACCCAGGACCCTTCAGACCGCAGGCTGATGCTCTATCCACTGAGCCACACCGGTTTCGGCCCGTGCTGTTTCGGGCGCTTACAAACAATAAAAGAATTAACGCGGGGCGGTTCCTTCGGGGGCGGGCAGAGATCTGCCTATGGGAGCCGATCGATCGGAGGGCCATGGGTCATCGATTACCTTCACGCGGAGCTTCTGATCGAGGCTCTGGATGGGCAGGACGACCATCTCGTCCCAGACCGGGTTCAGGTTCTTGTAGATGACTTTGCTTTTGTACAGCGTCTTGCCATTCAGCTTGAACTTCACGTAGGGGTCGCTGGTCCCTTTAAGAGAGGGAGCCAGTGAATGAGACAAGGGTTTTATTTTTGTGCTTTTTTGTGTGTTTTTTCAAATGTATGCGAACGCCTGGATCTCTCCATTAAGTCAAGTCTCTTTGCACGCTCCCCGGGGCTCAAAGCGTTTGATGGCGGGCACCCAGGATGAATCTGCCCCCGGCCAGACCCTGCAGGCCCCGGAGGTGGGGAGCAGGGACATACGTACCAATTGGGCGTGAATAATGGATTTGTCTCTGCCATCTGTGGTGGGATATCAATGGGCTTTTTTTTTAAATATATATTTTATTGATTTTTTACAGAGAGGAAGGGAGAGAGAGAGAGAGAGTTAGAAACATCAATAAGAGTCACCCATCAGCTGCCTCCTGCACACCCCCCCACTGGGGATGTGCCCACAACCAAGGTACATGCCCTTGACCAGAATCGAACCTGGGACCCTTCAGTCCGCAGGCTGATGCTCTGTGCACTGAGCCACACCGGTTAGGGCATAAGTGGGTTTCTTGAGCTTTTGCTACGTTGTTTCATTGTGAGAGTATCGTCACTGTTCTACCCCCCCCCCCAAAATTCCCACCATGAAACCCACTGGCGATGTCGAGGCCCTGGGGAGAAGCCCACCCCTCTTTAAAAAAGGCAGGGAGGCCAAAACCGGTGTGGCTCAGTGGATAGAGCGTCGGTCTGTGGACTGAAGGGTCTCAGGTTCGATTCCGGTCAAGGGCATGTACCTTAGTTGCAGGCATATCCCCAGTGGCGGGGGGGGGGGGGGGACGAGGGGAGGGGTGTGCAAGAGGCAGCTGATCAATGTTTCTCTCCCATCGATGTTTCTAACTCTCTATCCCTCTCTGTAAAAAATCAATAAAATATATATAAACTAAAAAAACAAAACAAAGAAATGAGACAACACAGATTCAGAGATCCAGTGTCACACTGGGAATTTGGCAACACGGGGCGGGCAGAAGGCCAGTCAGCCGCCTTTAGTTTAAACTCAGACACACACACGCGCGCGCACACACACAAGCACATGCACACACACATGCACACACGCCAAGTTCAGTGCAGTTCTGGGCGGGATTGCAAAAATGAGCACACTCACATCCACTGAATACTCAACAGCGAGTGAGCAATGCGGCCCCCCCCACGCCCCACCCCCTGTAACCATCATCCTGGCATCTATCTATCCACCTATCTATCTATCTATCTATCCATCCATCCATCCATCCATCCATCTGTCTGTCTGTCTGTCTGTCTGTCTGTCTGTCTATCTATCTATCCATCCATCCATCTATCTATCCATCCATCTATTTATTTATCTATCCATCTATCTATCTATCTATCTATCTATCTATCTATCTATCTAGTGGAGGGAAAACTATAATAACAAGAGGCCTCTAATTAAATGAGATTGCCCCTGTGGGACCAGGGCTTCATGCCTGTCAGCCCTCTCTCCAAATAAACATCTCACACCGGGGCCTCCCGGTCCCCCTCTCTCCCCGGCAAAGCACCCTGGGTAATCCCCAGGCTCCCTGACAGCCACATGACGTCCACTGTTTCACGGGTGAGCGGCGGCCATCGCGTCAAAGAAAATATTAAGGTCTGGGAGTCATCGGGGAGGGGGCCGGGGCTGACGGAGCCCGACAAGGAGAGGGGGTGTGGGGTCCGTCCGGCGTGGCGTTAATTGTTCGGGGGGGGATCGGAGAAAGGGGGGCAGCGGGGTGATTTTTTTTTTTCCTCTCTCTCTCGGAGCCTAAGTGCCTGGCTGTCAGGGATAAGACATCTCAACTAGGCAGCTCTGAAAAGGGGTCGGCCGCCCCGAGAGGCAGCTCCTGGATTATACAGACGTCGGGATGACACCTCAATGGGTGGACTTTGACCTCCTTTCACGGGGAGCTTCTTGGTCCACAATGAGGCTCGGGGGGATGAGGGGGGGAAAGGGGGGTTTGGGGAGGGGAAAGATGCTAAGAGGCCGGTGACGGTGCCTCCAGGCTGGGGCTGCCACCGACTCCACCATGTGGACCCCATGGAGTGACATGCCCCAGCCGAGTTTGCTCAGTGGTTAGAGCATCGGCCTGCGGACCGAGGGTCCCAGGTTCGATTCTGGTCAAGGGGGCTTACGCCTTGGTTGCAGGCTCTTCCTTGGCCTGGGCCCTGGTCAGGGTTACATGCAGGAGGCAACCCATCAATGTGTTTCTCTCACATTTTTGTTTCTCCCTGTCTTTCCCTTAAAAAAAGAAAAAAAAAATCAATGTTTGGCTCAGTGGATAGGGCATCGGCCTACAGTCTGAAGGGTCCCAGGTTCCATTCCGGTCAAGGGCACGTGCCTGGGTTGCAGGCACATCCCCAGTGGGGAGGGTGCAGGAGGCAGCCGATCAATGAGTTTCTCGAATCATTGCTGTTTCCATCTCTCTCTCCCTCTCCCTACCCCTCTGAAATCAATAAAAATATATATTAAAAAAAATCAATGGAAAAATATCCTTGGGTGAGGATAATAAATAAATAAACAAACGGTTCCTGATTTGCTTATGAATCTGAATGGGTCCTTCATGATGGAAATCAGCCATCGGCTTTATAGATCCCGCCGTAATTTGTTTAAATGGACCTTACTTCTCGCCATAAGTGATTTTCGTTTTTATTTGGTCAAATTTGCAGAGCTGTCGGACCTTCCGCTTGGAAGCAATTTCCTCTCGAGATTTGAAAGCCATGTTTCTCCCTCTGGTTTTGTAGTTTTTCTTTCTTCTTATTTTTTTTTTTTTTTTTTTACACGTAAGCCTTCGGTCCATCTGGAATGACTTGAGGGTGAGGAGGAAAGGGAACTCGGGTTTGCTGATGAGCAGGAGAGGAGAGTGACCCGGGCCAAGCTGGAGAGATATAAATCTGGCAGCAGCTTATAACTCAGGAAGCAGGGAATCCTGGGAGGTGAGACAGCACAGCGCAGGGCACGGGGCACGTGGGAGAAGGGGCCCCAGACACCCAACAGGAGAATCCAGACTTCCACACGGAATGGTCCCCTGGACAGATGCTCCTCCATGGAGCGAGGGGGGTTATGCCGCCGAAACCCCTGGGGAAGGCTCCTGACCTCACTCGGAGCGCCCATCACAGACTAAGACAGCAGTCGGCAAACACATGAGTCCACAGAGCCAAATGCCAACAGGACAACGACGGACATTTCTTTGGAGAGCCACATTTTTTTTAACACGTAAACTTCTTCTCACACCACTTCTTCAACATAGACTTGCTCGCCCAGACCGTGGTGTGTTGTGAAAGAGCCACACTCAAGGGGCCAGAGAGCCGCAGTTTACTGACCACCGACTTAACGCACTGCAGACCAGTAAGTTCCATTGCTAGCTTTACCCAGTGGCCAGGTAAGTTTCTACGGTACGAGTACAAAAAAACTGAAAATCAGCCCTAGCCGGTGTGGCTCAGTGGACAGAGTGTCGGCCTGCCCGCAGACTGAAGGATCCCGGGTTCAATTCCAGTCAAGGACACGTGCCCAGGTTGCGGGCTCGGTCCCCAGTGGGGGGGCGTGCAAGACGTGGCCGCTCCGTGATTCTCTCTCATCATGGATGTTTCCATCTCTCTCTCTCTCTCCCCTTCCCTTCCTCTCTGACATCAATAAAAAAATTTTTTTTAAATAAAAACACAAGTCACTAAGTATTCATAGCTCCTGGCTAGCACCCTACCCTAAGCCTATGGTGATGCACTGAGGATGTCAGAGAACTTTGCCGGTTCAATTTGAAGCAAATAGCAGGGAGCTCAGTGAGAAGGACACAGGGCAACTCAAACGGATCCTCAGAAGAGTGAGTCATCAGGAACCAAATGACTGAGGGTCTTGTGCTCTGGAGGAGATTTTTTGAGCAGCTGCTGCTGCCCTCTAGTGACTAACGCAAAAAGTTCCAGCCCGCACCAAGGCCAAGAGCCTGCTGCTGCATTCTTAACCGCCCCCTTCAGAAACCACAGCGGGCATGCTGGAAATGCAGAGGGCCTTTTTCCTGCTCACATGGGAAAGAAGAAGCTGTTTTTCCTTACAGAGCAAAGTCCCTGTTCCTGAAGGGACAGGGAAGGAGGTTCGATCCTCGCGGGATGCCAAGTGGGGCGGCATCCACTAACGGGACACAAAGGGGCCATGGCCAGCCCACACCCCAATGTGTAGAACCTCAAGTGTTCCTTGAACAAAACCCTGCCTGTAGGTGGGCCCTGTAATGTAATAATTTCCGAGCAATGGACCAAAATCCAATTTCTGAAAGAAGCTCTAGAAAAGTCTTTTAAACACACACACACACACACACACACACACACACACATACACACACACACACTGAGTGGCCAGATGATGATGATCTCTGAGCACATAATCATCTGGCCACTCAGTGTCTATCCTATAGAATAAAAGGCTAATATGCAAATTGTCCCCTTGACCAAGAATTCGACCAGCAGGCAGGCCGCCCAACCGCCCATGTCCTCTCCCCCTGGCCAAGCTGGCCAGACCCCACCCATGCAGGAATTCATGCACCAGGCCTCTAATATATATATGTATATATTTTTAAAATTCTTTTATTTTAATACACATACACTGAGTGGCCAGATTATTATGTGTTCAGAGATCATAATAATCTGGCCATTCAGTGTGTGTGTGTGTATATATATATATGGGGGGGTGTACAAATGGCTATTTAATTAAGTAGGACTGGACTTTTCAAATTGGGCTGAGGGATACCATTGCCCCCATGCACAAATTTTGTTCACTGGGCCTCTAGTATATTCATTGGAATGACCATCTTTCAGTGACGCTGGCCAGAGGTAGCTGGGTTGCTCCCTCCCAGCACCCAGTGGTCTCACGCCACCTGGTGTTCAGAGAAGGTACTCCCAGGTGAAGCAAACCCCAGGATTTTGCAAACTAAAAAAGATCGAGAGTGACCTTTCGATACAACTAAGCCTGAACAAAACAACACATCTGTGGGAATCAAAGAGAAATCCAAGCGGACCCTAATAATATGGATTGCATTTTAGTGCGCGATTAAAACGTGGCAATCGAATCACTGGGGAAATTAAATAGCCATGTGGTAAAAAAAAAAAAAAAAAAAAGTAAAACGAAGTCCCCATGCTGGGCCGGAAATCAAAACAAACTCGAGCAGATCAAAGCGATTAATGAAAACCGTCAAACCACTCAGAAAAGAGAATAAATATGGGGCTAATGTGCCTCTCTCTCAAGACACACAATGCCTTTCTGGGAACAAAAACAAAGAGAGAAACTCTTTAGAATAGGATGTAAGACTCAAAAAGGTTTTAGCAACACAAAAAATGTATAAACAAACTTATTGTATAACTAGTGGCCCGGTGCACAAATCTGTGCACAGGTGGGGTCCCTCGGCCTGGTTGGTGACCAGGGCTATGGGAGTTTGGCTGGCCAGGGGGAGGGGTCACTGGAGGTTGTCAGCCAGGGGGAGGGGCTGCAGGAGGTTGGCTACAGGAGCACACTGGCCACCAGAAGGCAGCTCCTGGGTTGAGTGTCTGCCCCCCTGGTGGTCAGTGCGCATCATAGCGACCGGCGGTTCAGTCATAATGATCACTTAGGCTTTTATATATATAGATTACCATGTGACCCCACACCCCACACACATATCCTCACAAATCCCACAAGTACACACACACACACACACACAAACACACACATCAGGTGAGTCCTCACAGTCATTGCTACCTGGTATCAGAGCTGGTATTCACACCTGGGTGGTCTGTGTCCAGCATCTATGACCCTTCCCTGCCGTCCATCATTCCCCGACCAAATGGTTTCACGGGCCAAGGCCTCCTGCAGACGGGGTGTTCCCCACCCCTGGCCTAAACCAAATAGGAAAATGATTTTTTCCCCCTGGTCCATGTAGTCCTCCTGGAATGTTCTAGAAACAACGCTCAACTTTCTACCTGTGCCGCGAATGGAGAGGGAGAACAGGTTGCTGGAAGCATGGGTCCCGAATCTTCATCGCCTACAACTCACACCGACCCTCAACCTTCCCGCCCGCCCACAGCCAGCTGATGTTGCTGGTCTTGGTCACGTTACACTGAACTCCTGCCAAAGAACTTTGCTTTCCCTTCTGCAATACTGCAGTCTGGCCACCAGAGGGCACCAGCAACCCAGTCTTCCACTGGGTCCACAGCAGGGAGCTGCTCTCTACCTGCCTTAACAATAAGGGAAAACAGGGCTCTTGTTTTCCGGGGATGAATGCCCTAAAATGTAAGGGGAGTTAAGCATCTTTCCCAGAACAGGAGGCCTGGAGGACAGGGCTGCTGGCACTAGCACTACCAGCTCTAAGACACAGCTCCCAGCGACCAATAGGGTGGGTCAATATTCCTGTGAGGTCAAGGATTTGGGGGCAGGAAGTGGGGGGGGCAGGGCTCAGAGGGCATTGCCATCTACATGCATGTTGGAAAACTTTATAATAAGGGTTATTCCCATCTTTCTCACCGATAATTGAAGTAGGACAAGGGAACACTTTCTTGGGCATCAAGCTCTTACAGTAAGCTTAGTTGCAATTCAAACAACTGTATACGGTGAGGATTACCATTATCACTAGAAGCCCAGCACGTGAAATTGCACAGCCCCACCCACCCGTGCTGGTCTTTGGTCATTACGGCATTAGGGCCATGGGCTTTTTATATATATAGATTATTCCTAATTTGCTATTAACAAAGAATAAGAAGGTTCGGTATAATTACATCATTTGCTGCAAACACCTTGGCTCCTGGGGAGGCTTAGAGTAGAGGTCATGTGTGTTGCAAACTATGCTGAGATAGAAAGGTTGGCTGCCCGGCCGGCTACCGGTGTGGCTCAGTGGTTGAGTGTCAACCTGTGCACCAGGAGGTCACGGTTCGATTCCCGGTCAGGGCACATGTCTGGGGTTACGGTCTCGATCCCCAGCAGGGGGCGTGCGGGAGGCAGCAATATCCATGATTCTCTATCATCATTGATGTTTCTCTCTCTCCCTCTCCTTCCTCTCTGAAATCAATTTGGAAAAAAAATGAGGGCTACCCATATTTGACACGAGGGTGGAGAGCTAGGCTACAGAGAGCGAGGCGGAGCGGGCCTTACCACAGCGGTCCCGGATGACCAGGTTCCGGCCCTCCTTCAGGTGGATGGTGAGGAGGTAGGCGAAGGGGCTGGGCAGGTTGCTCAGGCCGTCGCTGGCTTCCCCGAGGGTCTGCACGGGGGGAGAGGTAAAGTCAGTGGTTAGGGGAGAGAATTTCCAAAATACTTCTAATTGTAAAGGGGGTGGGGGAATAGTCACTCCAGTAGCCAGTCTTCAAGACCGAGCTCCCACTGCACCCCAAGCATGGCTCAGTGGTTGAGCATTGACCTAGGAGCCAGAAGGTCACGGTTCCATTCCCAGTCAGGGCACATGCTGGTTGCAGGCTGGATCCCCAGTGTGGGGAGTGCAGGAGGCAGCCGATCCGTGATTTTCTCTCATCATTGATGTTTCTCTCTCTCTTACTCTCTCTGAAATCAATAAAAATATATTTAAAAAAAGGAAATCATTTCAGTACATAACCACTCAGCTGCCAACCCACTGAGCCAGCCCGTCCATCGGACACACGGCCCTCGTCTGCGTCCACATGGGAAAGTGTCTCTGTCCGGTGCCCTCCTGTCTTTCCCCGACCCCACCATGGAGTCTCTTCCGCTTCCCCTCACAGTCTCACCACTTCACGATGCTGTCCACTCCCTTCTGTGGGAGTAAATGCATCAACCCTTACAGGCCCTCAAGTTCAAGGCAAGACTAGTTTTGAATATGCTTATTCAATGGATGCCATTCACGTTTGAAACTTGAGTTCTACCCGAGTCCCCATGTCTGCCATTGCAAAGAGAAAAGGGCAGGAGCAATAACTTATTGTTCACCGACTTGATCTTCAACTTCATCGACCCTGCGGCTAAGTCACCCTGGACGGTCCTCTCTGGGAAGTGTTCCCATCCGTGTTTCAAAGCACTTTGAAAATGGCTTTGTCTCCTGCTCTGCAGCACCCGATTTCATAGCTTCTCTGTATTTTTAGAAGAATCTATCCCAGGCTCCCAGATCGATACGCACTGAATTAATATCTCCCGGCTCTCACTGCTAAGGCCTTTGCAAGTGGATACGGGTGAGCATTCTTTAAATAAAGAAACGAGGCAAAGCGATGCAGATCCGGACATGGAATAGGAAACACTTAGGATGGGGGCTTGCCGTGTTTATCGGTTTCAAAGGGCTGTCACTCACAGACTGTTCTTCAAACTGCTGGGACGTCATAGACGTGCTCAGATCGCCACTGCCACAGAGCTTCTGAAAATAAAAGGAAAAGATAACCCTGCTTAAAAAAAAAAAAAAAAAAGCAAAAGAATATCAACCCACCCTAACCGATGTGGCTCAGTGGATAGAGCATCAGCCTGTGGACTGAAGGGTCCCGGGTTCGATTCCGATCAAGGGCATGTACCTTGGTTGCGGGCACATCCCCAGTAGGGGGCGTGCAGAAGGCAGCTGATGGATGTTTCTTTCTCATCAATGTTTCTTATACGCCAATCCAAGCAGGCTTTTTATGCATGCAAATTATACCTGTTCTGTACCCAAAGCTACACTGTGTTCTAGTAAAAAGCCTGCTCAGTTTGGCCAGAGTCAGAGAGGCGGTCTATTAAAAAAAGAACTGGTGTTGCCTCGGAAGTGGGGGGGTAGTCTTATACAGCGAATGTAGGCCTAAACCTATGTTTTAACTGTAAAATTAGGGGGGTCGTCTTATACGCCGGAAAATACGGTAACTCTCTCGCCCTCTCTCTTCCTCTCTGTTAAAAAAAAAAAAAAAAAATCAATAAAATTGATTGCTCTGCAAATATCTACAGCCTGCCCCCCGTTCAAAATAGAACCTTCAGGAAGAAGTGGATTTTTGTCTGCTTTGTGGATGGCCTGTGTTCCCAGGACCAGCACATAGTAGGTGCTTACCATCCGGGAAGGAGGGAGGGAGGGAGGGGAGCAGAAAAACAGAGGCCAGGACCTCCGACAACAGGGGGTGACATGGGATGTGGCTGACACGCCTGAGGCAGGAACCCCGTGAGGGGGAGCAATGACTTCTGAGCTGGAACAGAAATAGCCACAGAGCACGTGGCCAGTGTGGGGAGCGGCTGACGCTGGTCTTCATTCCGAGAGCGGCAGGCTGTCTCCGCTCTGCGGTTTGTCATTGTGCGTCTCTGTGGTCGCCAAACTGAAGCTCTGTGGTTGCCGAGCAGCTTCTAGAAATATCCCACTAGGGCTCTCTTCTCAGCAGCTCAGCTCGTCCTCAGAAGTCAGTGCCCAGGTTGGTGGTTTCAAACCCTGACTGCCAAGCAGAGCGTTAGGGGAGGGCGTGCCCGTGGGGAGATAGCATGGGGAGGATGGTTCATGATTATTAGTTATTGATCGTGATGAAGTGCACGTTCGAACACTATCATTATCCCTGCTTTTATTTACTTTTTGAAGTTTTTACTGCCAAAACCGGTGTGGCTCAGTGGCTAGAGCATCGGCCTGAGGACTGAAGGGTCCCAGGTTCGATTCCGGTCAAGGGCACGTACCTGGGTTGCAGGCACATCCCCAGTAGGGGGTGTGCAAGAGGCAGCTGATCGATGATTCTCTCTCATTGATGTTTCTAACTCTCTATCCTTCTCTCTTCCTCTCTGTAAAAAATCAATGAAATATATTTTTAAAAAAGGAAAAAAAATAAGTTTTTACTGATTTTAGAGAAAGAGGAGGTAGGGAGAGAGAAAGAGCAAGAGACAGAATCATCCACGATGAGAAACATCATTGACTGGCTGCCTCCTGCATGCCCTCCACCCCCCTCCACCCCCAAACTGGGGATCAGCCCGCAACCTGAGCAAGTGCCCTGACCAGGAATCCAACTGGCGACCTAGGCAATGGTGTAAAGAGAGAGAGAGGGACAGGCAGACACACACTTGGCAATTTTAGAGAAAAAGTTATGCTCTTCCTTTCTTTGCTAGGAGATGGATAAAAGGAAAACTCATCCAATAGGCCTTTTAAAGCCTTAAAGAGTCCGAGAAAGGGTTTTTGTAATAGTTTCAAAATACACAGAGGTCAACCCGAAAACTGATGGGAACACTTGGTGCGATCGATACGCCGCTCCATCCACGCTAACCACGGAAATAGCTCCTAATCCGGTCCTCCAAGGGCACTCGGTGAGATGAAAAAGAGGGAGGAGGCAGCAGATAATGGTGCGGTTAAGGCCTGGGGCAGGGGACGGGGTTGGGGGCGGGGGGGCAGGCCAGGAGGGGTCAATGGGGAGAAAGGGGACATATGTAATACTTCCACCAAGAAAGATAACTTTATAAATAAGCAAATATAAAAATAAATAAATAAATTGATTAAATAATAGCCTGGCTGGCATGGCTGCGTGATTGAGCATCGACTTGTGAACCCCAGGAGGTCAGGGTTCGATTCCCGGTCAGGGCACATGCCTGGATCTCAGGCTCCATCCCCAGTAGGAGGCGTGCAGGAGGCAGCCGATCTAGGATTCTCTCTCATCGTGGATGCTTCTCTCTCTCTCTCTCTCTCTCTCCCTCTCGCTTCCTCTCAGAAACCAATAAAAATATATTTTTTTAATTCAATGAATATAGCCCTAACCGGTCTGGCTCAGTGCACAGAGCGTTGGCCTGTGAACTGAAAGGTCCCAGGTTCAATTCCGATCAAGGGCATGGACCTTGGTTGTGGGCACATCCCTGGTGGGGGGGCGTGCAGGAGGCAGCTGATCGATGTTTCTCTCTCAAGGGTGTTTCTGACTCTCTATCCCTCTCTCTTTCTCTCTGCAAAAAAAATAAATTTATTAATAAACAACAACAATAACAATGAAATAAAAGTTGAATAAATACAAATACAGAAGAAGAAAGAAAGCACAGGGACGGGGTGCTGCCTGGGCCTCACCTCGGGCTCCTCCGGAGCATCCTCCCCCGGGGGCAGCAGGTCGTAGAGGCCATTGCTGGAAGCCCTTCGGCCGGCGGCTGGCGAGGCGTATGTCTCCTCCGGGTCTGTGTCCGCCGCCTGCAGGTGGCCTGCCTCTTCCTGGCTCCAGTCCAGCTCCTCTTCCGACTGCTTCAAGGAGCCGCTGCAGCTCCCGGGCGCGATCCCGGCCGTGGACAGGCTGCTGGGCACGGAGGTGTAGGACGACTGGGCCCCGGAGTACGGCCCGCCCTCCGGGGCCAAGGCCTGGGCCTCCAGGAGGTCGGGGACCGAGAGGCTGAGCCGGCGATCGAGGTGATGATGATGATGGTGCGGCTCCCGTAAGCCCAGGGGTTTGTCCTGGTGCTTCTTTGCCTTCTTCTTGCTCAGGTTGAGCAGCAGAGGCCTGGTCCGCTGTTTGAAGGAGCCCCAGACGGAGGATTTATCCAGGTCCATGGCTGCATGAAGACCCCCGAGGAGGTGGTTCCTAGGAAGAGACCACCACCCCTGGGAAGCTCGGCGACTCCTGGAAAACAGAACAGGAGGAGAAGGGACGTGAATCGTCTCTGTGGCGTCAGGGCCCAGGAAAGGGGGAAAGGTGACTCGGAAAGTGTACCCTTTCCGGGAAGGGATGGAGATGGAAGCATCTGATTGGTCACATCCACAGAGACCAGGAAAAGCTTAAAGAACTGGATTCTTAAAGAATTTTTTTTTTAATTGAAAAAGTTATGGAAAAGTTAAAGCAATGAATGAAATGACTAGGTTGAAACACACACACACACACACACACACACACACGTATATGCTTCGTAGGAAGATGGCTTATTTCACTCAGCATAACGCCCTCTGGGTTCCTACATGCTGTTGTAAATGGAAGCAATCCCTTCCTTTTCACGGGTATATAATATTCCACCATATATCCATGGGAAGGCAAAAGTAGGCTTACAGTTGTGAGTATGCAAAACACAGAGTTAATTCTTCTATTACTATTTATTAAGCATTGTATTCTTTTCCATAGCAACAAGTGTAAGCCTACTTTTCCCACCCAGAATAGGTAACACATTTTCTTTATCCCTTCATCCCGCGATGGACCTTTAGGTTGTTCCTGCATCTGAACTGCTGGACAAGGGTGTGCAGATATCACTTTGAGATACTGAGCTCATTTCCTTTAGATAAAAACTCAGAAAAGGGGGAGCTGGATTATATGGTATATACACACTGAGTCGCCGGATTATGATGTGTTCAGGGATCATAATAATATTGCCATTCATGCACCGAGTCATATATGAGGCCTGGTGCATGAATTGGTGCATGGGGGTGGGGTCTGGCCAGCCTGGCTAGGGGGAGGGGACATGGGCGGTTGGCCGGCCTGCCTGCTGGTCGAACTCCTGGTCAATGGGACCATTTTCATATTAGCCTTTTATTATATAGAATATACACTGAGTGGGCCAGTTTATTATGCATTCAGAGATCATCATCATCGGGCTACTCAGTGTATACTTTTAATTTTAATTTTTTTTTCATTCTCACCTAAGCATATTTTTAGAGAGAGTGGAAAGCTCGAGGGAAAGACAAAGAGAAATATTGATGTGAAAGAAACACATGGATTAGCTGCCCCCTGTACAAACCCCGACCATGGCCCCGGCTGGGGGGGAACCCACAATCGAGGTCCATGCCCTTGACCGGAATCGAACCTGGGACCTTTCAGTCTGCAGGCCGACGGTCCATCCACTGAGCCACACCGGCACAGCTCACAGGTAATTCTGCAGCTGCTCGGCTCTGGGCATGCCAACTCATTGAAAATGATTGACTATGTTGATTCGATCCATGATCTTCATCTTCCTCCTTGTCCTATCCGTAAAGAAAGGAGGACAGGTCCCGAGGCACAGCCATGACGTTGAGTTGACAGAACGCCGTGAAGAGAACGAGACAGAGGGAGGTGCCCGGATTGAGCCCAGCCCCACTGGAGAGCAGGCACAAGGGCCATCCACTCAGACGTCCCATGTAGAAGGCTATTCTGGGCTCGGTGCTGGCTTCTTTGTGTTCGGGAAGTTCAAGTGGAGAGGCCGAGCTGGCAGCGGGGCCCATGACAGCGGCGCTAAGAGGGAGGCCGGGTCTATCAGAGACAGACTTGGCAGAGACGGAGGCGTGGGAATACCAAGAGAAGCATAAAACTGAAAAGACGGGAATGAACGAACCTGAAGGAACTCCAGCCCGGCACAGTCTGCTCAAGTAGGATCAGCGTGCAAAGGAGACTAAAAAAATTAAAAGTAACTACAACAGCCCTGACCGGTGTGGCTCAGTGGTTAGAGCGTTGGCCTGCGGACTCCAGGGTCCCGGGTTCGATTCCGGTCAAGGGCATGGACCTTGGTTGCGGGCACATCCCCAGTGGAGGGCTGTGCAGGAGGCAGCGGATGGATGTTTCTCTCTCATGGATGTTTCTGACTCTCTATCCCTCTCCCTTCCTCTCTGACATCAATAAAAATATATTTTAAAAAATTAAAAAATAGAGTACAGATCAGCATATCAGGCATCTGAACATCAAGAGATCCCGTGAAACAGCCAGAAAAATAAAGCGGTTGCTCTAAAAATAGCAGGCACACCTCCTAAGCAATTGCTTTTATCTCTGAGAGACTTGAGGATCAGGCATTGCTTTTTTGGGACTCGTTTGAACTCCGGCTAAACTGAGAGTTCATCTCTCCCTAACGGCCTACTACCTGTTTCCCCGAAAATAAGACAGTGTCTTATATTCATTTTTTCTCCCAAAGTTGCTCTAGGTCTTATTTTCAGGGGATGTCTTATCTTTCCATGCGCTAGGTCTTATTTTCGGAGGGTGTCTTATTTTCGGGGAAACACGGTAGTTTAACCTGCCCTCCCCTCCACCTTTTCCTACTGGAGAACTTGGCCACTTAATTATTTTCCTTACCTTCTGGGTGGAGAGTTATTTTTTTTGGTGGTAGTGGTAAATAAAAGCAAAATAAAAAGGCAAGTTGAATATGGATAACTCAATTGCTTACTATTGTGGGCTGATGGGCCAAACTCTGCCTTAAATACATGGATGTAAGTAAAGATTCAGCCCCAGCCGAAACCGGTGTGGCTCAGTGGATAGAGCGTCAGTCTGCGGACTGAAAGGTCCCAGATTCGATTCCGGTCAAGGGCATGTACCTTGGTTGCAGGCACATCCCCAGTGGGGAGTGTGCAGGAGGCAGCTGATGGATGTTTCTCTCTCATTGATGTTTCTAGCTCTCCCTTCCTCTCTGTGACAAATCAATAAAATATAATTAATTAATAAATAAATGGGATATTTAAACACTGCATCTTGCCCCTTTCCCCGGTTCGTTTTTATTGAGATACTACAAACCCCTGAGTAGGCCGGGAGAGGGCCAGCACACTACAGGGCTTGCAAAGAAAATACTGGAACTTCCATGCTGACTGACCTAACGCATCCTTTTACTTCCCTTTTGTGTATGTGTGTGTGTGTGTCTGTTTAATAATATATGTAATATCGGTACCACAGCACAGGTGCATAATTCATAAGGAAATAATGTACACTCCCGTTGGGTGTGCCCGCTGACTCGCTGCATTATGACAGAAAGAACGGGGGACATTTCAAAAGCGCTTGGCCCATTCACCCCTTTAATCTGCTGGAAATATAATCCCAACCTGCAATCCTTAGAAAAGATCGCGTGTTTCCCTGCAGGCAATGCCTATTTTCAGAACCGCGTCGCTCCTTTCAGAGAGAAGTATCCGGAATGAATAGAATACCTGCCAGACAAGCCCAAATAGACAAGACGCTTGTTTTTAGAAAGAAAAAAAAAATGCAAGTGTGATTTAAACAGGGTTTTCGGTAAATACTGCCCTCACTTCCCCCAAAAGGCGGGGAGCATTCATTTCAACAATGATCTCATTTGTCTGAGTTTTCTCTTAACATTTACAAATTGCAGGATGGTGCTTCCCTCCAGCGCTTTCATTCAATTTGCATTTTCAGCAGCAGACACACAGGACATCCTGTGCACGCGCCCAGGTGAGGAGGCAGAGGTAGGAAAATAAAATAAAATAAAAAAGATTTGCATCTCCTTTGAGAGCTGAGTCACTCATAGTTAGAGCTTTATTCACAATCACACCATTAAAACGAACCCATGGCTGAAACCGGTGTGGCTCAGTGGGTAGAGCGTCGGCCTGCGGACTGAAAGGTCCCAGGTTCAATCTGGGTCAAGGGCATGGACCTTGGTTGCGGGCACATCCCCAGTAGGGGGTGTGCAAGAGGCAGCTGATGGATGTTTCTCTCTCATTGATGTTTCTAACTCTCTATCCCTCTGCCTTCCTCTCTGTAAAAAATCAATAAAATATATTTTTAAAAATAAAATTTAAAAATAAATAATAAAAGGAACCCATGGATTGCCCTAACTGGTGTGGCTCAGTGGATAGAGCATCTGCCTGCAGACTGAAGGAGTCCCAGGTTCGATTCCGGTCAAGGGCATGTACCTTGGTTGCGGGCACATCCCCAGTTGAGGGTGTGCAGGAGACAGCTGATTGACATTTATCTCTAGTCAATGTTTCTAACTCTCTATCCCTCTGCCTTCCTCTCTGTAAAAGAGCAATGAAATATATATTAAAAAATTAAAAAATAAACCCATGTATCTGGTGATTGGAAGCCGTGATTTGGCTGTGACATCCTAAATAACATCCCAGGAATGGAAGCGCTGAGGGGACCACAGCACCAGGAAAGGTCAATATGCAGAAACGACCATAAATATCCCTCCAATGGCCACGTTTCCAGAAACAAAAGGACTTTCCCTTTTTGGTGCTCCTGGCTCACCGTAGTTATTCCACCCACTGCTGCAGGTGCAAAACCTACAGGAGATAAGGTTGAGTTGGGCCCCATCTATCACCAACTGGGCAAGTTCCTCTTCTGAATGAACTCTCAGGGTTGGCTTTCCCCTGCCAAGGTTGGATACAGGTCAAGGGCACATGCCCGGGGGGTGGGCTGGATCCCCACTGGGGGGCGTGCAGGAGGCAGGCGATCCAGGATTCTCTCCTCCCTCTCCCTTCCTCTCTGAAATCAATAAAAGTCTATTTTTAAAAAATCGAAAAACAAAGAAAAGAACTCAAAAGACACACCTTTTGGATGACATTGGAATTATGGGTGCATTGGAGTTGAAAGCAGCACAGAAAAGTACAAGGTTAATGTATGCGTGCACATAAGCTTAAGCAATGGACACAAGACACTGGGGGATGAGGGCAGGTATGGGAGTGGGGTGGGGGGTAATGGAGAGGGATATGGACACATGTCATACCTTAATCAATAATAATTAAATAAATAAATAAAAGATTAAAATATAATAAGAAAACAGATAACAATTTAATAAAAAATAAAAATGCAAAAAAATAAATTAAATAAGTTATCATGACATATAAAATAAAATAAAACCAGTGTCTTCAATAAAAATAATAAT